ATTTTAACTGCAAACGTATATGTAGGTTGATTTAGATAGTTTTATTCTAGCAAATATACTGAAAAGCGCCAAAATTTTGAGGAAGCAATAAAAGTTTATTGCTTCCCCCAAGTTTTTTTAGGGGAAGTAATTGCTAACCCGTTGCTTGCTGGTGCGCCGCCACTGCTGAATCATGTCTATAGAGTTTTTATTATAAAAGAAATGATCTGTCAGTTCCATTGAATCTTGGTGTGTTCGTGCGAATAGCTAAAGATTCTCTTATGAGCAATTAATAAAGCCGGTAAGCTAATATGTTGACTTTGTCAAAATTAATAGAGTGATCAGCTTTAAATACATACTTACTTAAAGCTGATTGATAGAGTTTGGACTCTGGCATATAAATTTGTTGAATATTAATTTACCAGATAGTCAGCAATTAATGCAAACGTGTGTACTGACATAGTATGTGAAACCATTGTCTTGATAAGTGTAACAACTACATTTGCCATTTTTCATTATACTGAAGTGGATTCATTCGTATTTGCAACACTTTCTCCTTTATTGTGTTTGACCAGCTTTCACATCAGTACATCGTAAACACAAGAGTATCTATCGTTTTCTTGTAATTTTGAAGTGAAAAGTATTTAGAATCTAGACATCCTCTCAGAACAAATACATACGACTTGGACACGTAACTCTGATACCGCAGTGTAATTCCGTCACGTTCTTTTTTGCACTTTGTCTCTTCTATGTTTCTCGAATGAAGACATGTTCCGAGCTCGGCAATGACTCATTTTAAAGGAAAAAGTGTGCTGAATATTTCGAGATTTTGCACATATCTACACCATTGACAAGTCCGAAAACAGCGTGTAGAGTGTGCAAAAATCTCAGAATATTCAGCACACTTTTCTTTTTGATATGAGTCATTGCCGAGTTCTGAACGTGTCTTCATTCGAGAATTATAGAAAAAACAAAGTGCAAAAAAAACATGACGGAATTACACCGCGGTATCAGAGTTACGTGGAATAGTTGCACAGCTATTTATGTGTTTCAAAATAATCAAACTAATAAAATAGGTAGATGACACATTGAACGTACGCACTAACATAAGAAGAATGTCATTGCAGCTATCGATCATCACACATATATCTGTCTCCATCGTCTGTGCAATGCACTATCCATTGTTCTGACAAGTATAAAAGGTTGCACTCTCGGTCATCTTCCTCACAAAATATTATAACTGAAGAAGAGTACTGAACACTCGAAACTTGTTTTAATTGTTATTTTGTTTTTCATACATCTGTATACTGTTTTTGTTTATCATCACAAATATATATAAAATATTACTTATATCTAGTCACTGGAACAATTTCAACGTAAAGGTAAACATTTTGTTTTATAACCCTCACCACATTTAACCCGAGCGTTACAAAATTGAAGGCTCGGAGAACACCTTTACGTAGGAACCAGTGTTTGTAGTTCTTTAAAAGTAATATAAGTAAGAAATGTATCATCATCAGTACAAATCTACGTGTTTAACAAGGAATGGAAGAGACATAAATAGTAATAATAATACACATATACAAAAACCAGATAAAAAGGAAACATCTATTTCCACAAAAGTAAGTCCATTGACATTTAACATAATGAAATCAAAACCTAAAGGTAAGAATGATCATGGTAGTAAAACAGAACCTAAAGGTAAGAACGATCATGTCAGGAAAACAGAAGGTCAAATGAAAAAAAAGATACGAAACTTATGGAGAGATGAAGAAGATCTAGGCAAAGAAATAAGCCATCACTCTGAGCTAATGAACTGTCAGGTAACGTTACTACGGGCACCATCGCTCGAACAATATCGTAATATATTGGGACAATACATCCCGCAGGTACCACATAATATGGACGAAATTGTCGTAATAAATCCATCACCTACTAGAATAGCTATTAATCAAAAGATAGGGCATAGTAAACCACTAAAAAATAGAGATAACAATTCACCAGTCCTGCCGAAATTTGACTTGGCATTCGACTTGGCGTTAGATTTAACAACAGTTGACGGGAGTGAAGAAGGAATTGTAAGCAGAGAATGGTTGAAAGAGAATGATGGACACGCAGAAGCAATCGCGACATGTCAAGAACAGGTAATGATTCAAGAGAAAGTTATACCTGTGAGGACTATTGAGACCTATGCACCAATAGATACCAATTCAACCATTACCTTTATAGAACCAAACGGTAATCTATCTACGAGTTTTGCTAGTAGTAGAGAAACTAAAAGGATAGAAGGCGATATAAGACAAACCACATTACTGGTATTGCCAAAAAATGGCAAAGAAGGAGATGAAAAACTAGCACAACCAGGAGTTATAGTAAGAAAACAGGCACTGAGCCTAGCATTACAAAAAAGACGATAGTAGTAAAATAAAAATAAAAACGACGGGAGAAGCAGCAGCTCGGAGCAACACTCTTCAGATAGAGATAAATAAATGTGGAGTCTACTGCCGGATATGGGCAGCAACAGTATAGTTCGAATCAACAGTACGGACGGTATCCAACACGTTTAGTATCACAACTACCACCGCAACACTTAATGTTGGGGCATGAGATAATAGCTGAACAAATACAGCAGCAGAGACAACAAAAAACAGCTAAACACATAAATAAACAAAAGGAAAGGAAGGGAAAGAAGTGGAGAAAGAATCAAATATTGCCAGGATATATTCAGGAGAAAGTATTAAGTGAAATTCGAAAACTATCCTGTAAAACCATAGAGGATGACGGTTTATTTATCGAATTGGTTAGAACATTCGACCATACTAAAAAAACAGCCGAAAAGAAACAACTCTGGCACAAATATTTAGAGCTATCTAGTCAAGATACACCACTATGACCAAGAGAAATTTTCAGACTCCATTTCTTAAAAAACTCACAAGATAAAAAAAGCGTGCATACAAAAACAGTTCGATTTGCTTGCGAAACAGAAATAAGAAAGATAAAAAATCGTATGTAGCCATTTTAAAAGTCATTAAACTCTTGAACACTTTAAACCCTATCCATCAGGCGAATTTCGCCCTAGAAGAAAAGAGGTTACATGATGTTCTCACTTGTGAATTATACGATTACTGTAAAGAAGGCATCGAGGTCATCGAACAGGTTGTTGAAAGAAAAATAGAATAAGTGAAAGCTGATGGCACGAATCGGATAAAATACGGAAAGTAACGAATATCGGAAAAAATGACAACGCGAGAAAAAGCATTTACCGAATTAAAAATATTAAGAAAGAATGAACTCAGCGTACTAGAGCAGATTCATAAGATACAAACAAAAATAGGCTTAAAAATGCCCCCAGCCACTCTAAACGCAATGGATATACCATTAGTCGCATCCGATACGTTATCATCTTATACTGAATACACTACAAGGTGGAATAACATAATAGCAAAAGCCAAACTCGAATAAACAGAGGTTATGCTGAGAGCTAGAGAGGTGCAACAAATTAAAAAAAAGGTGGACGAAAAAATGACAGTCGTCCTAGCAAATAATTATAATAATGAGGAATTAATAATAAAAGAAATATTTGAAGGGATGGAAAGTGACAGTAAAGAAAGAATGACAAATCAATAAACGCACCACGATATTTATCACTTCTCTTGATCATTATAGATTCGCATGACCGTGAATGAACAATCGAACGGTGTAGAAATGAAGAATCTAGCAGACAATGTAAAACATAATTATATTGATTCCGAAGAAACATCCTATGAAGAAATAGCTGGCATCGTATCAAACAAAGATGATTCTGAGATTCTCGTCATCACCTTTCGTAGTTGCTTGATTGGTATGATTTTGCACGATATGAATATTATTCATATCGTGACCTATCATATGCTGTACCTGAGCTGTTCTATTATCACGTGTTTTTTATTATCACGAAAATAAGTTGTTTTTATTTGTAAATAACTTGCTATTGTTTTATCATAATTTTATCATATTTAAAAATGCGAAGAGATTGAAAAGCTTTCAAAAAGCGTGGGGATATCAGAACTAAACAGGTGCTCAAAAATTGCATACAGCTGCTTCAAAATTGGGTAAAACAGCAAACATCAGTAAATATATTGGTAAAGAAATAGCTAAAACATTAATTCAAACTGGTTTATCTGAATTAGCATCAGTTGGTATAGATAGTACGTTAAATTCAATATCAAATACTTATGAAAGGGAATTACATGAAAAAATTAAACAAGCAGTGAATGATAACTGGAATACGGTTAAATCAGAAATGCAAGAAATATTCCGTTTATCTGAAGGAAATAATACTGCAAAGAAATAATTGAAGATTGTATTAACAGAAAATTACAAAATTACCAGAAGCAACAATGCTGAAAAATTTTACAAGTCGATGTGGTCCAGTTATGCAAGGTTTAGGTCAAGCCCTGGCTGGTACTAAAGGCACAATACAACGTTTATTCAATACATATGCTCCTACATTAATTGGTTTAGGTGTAAATATTGGGGTTGTAATGATTAGTGGCTTTATAAAAAATTTAGTAGCTGATTTAAAAGATGCGAGGAAAAAGCTAAAAACACAAATAAACAATACGTATTAAGTAAAAGTATTGAATCAATTGCGGGTGCAAATCGTATTGAACGATTAGCAAATACTTTTGAACTAATTCATGCAGCATCAAGTCCAAATGATACTAAAATTAAATATGCAGATGATTTAGTTATTTTCTCGGCTGAAGCTAGGGCTATTGATGTAAACGACCTTAATATTGATCCTAAAGACGTTTATCCAGCAAATCTTAATAGTGAAAGTTTACAACAAGTTTATTATAATGTTGCATTAGTTGCTAATAAAATGTCTCAAAGTAAAACATATGATGAAGCAATGAAGATTCTCGACGATAACAATGTAGTTAAAGAATTAAGAAAAGATGTTTCTTTAGCTATGAAAAATGATGAAAAATTATTGAAAGAATTTAGATGGACAAATAGAACTGATTTAAAATCTCATTTTATTAGTTTAACTGGTTACTATGTGGACAAGAAGGAGCAATTAAGATTAGATGATAAAGATATAGAATATTTTAAAACAGAATTTGCAACTGCTAACCTACCAGTTAAATATTCTGAGATGAAACGAAGAAAAGGAATTGATGATATGGGCAGTGAAGTAACATTAGCTGATCACCATCTTATATCAAAAACAGAGATTCGCTCGCAACTAGTCGCACTCATATCAACATTAACTGATGAAGAGTTAAAAAGTACTATGGAAGCGTATTTAAACGATCCTAGAAATCCCTCAAACAAAGTACTTGTAATGAACGGAATTGGTGGGGCGAAAGATCCGCAGATCAGTTATATGGAATCCAAATAATCTCGTTCCTGGTCCTCCCGGGGAACAACGTTCGCACCATTATGGATCGGCGATTGATGAAGAATTATTATGAGTATCACAAAATAGATTCAAAGCACCATACGACGCGTTTCGACTATTGCTTAGATAGTGGATGAGAGATAAGGATGAGGGGTGAGTTTAATTATTATTTTGAAATCGAAAGAGAAAGCACACCTATGAATCTTTAAAAGATTATTCTCTATCATCTCACTTGTCCACAGAAATTTTCTGGGCATTCAAATTAGTTTGAACATCCACAGTAGATTTGTTCTATCTAACACGAAAGATTAGACAAGAAGTTCGCGACCGAATGCTTGCATTTCACTACGTATATTTGTTGGTAAATATGTGGTAACGACATGTAAACCACCATTTTCTTCTAATTTATCAGATGTATCTAGATGTGTACCTCTACCAGCTAAATTAGTTGCAATGATAATATCACCGGGATGTAATTTATTAATTTCAAATTTTTCATAAGCCTAAGAAGTTCGTTCCTGATCCGTTTAAGGGAGATAAAAAAGCGAATAGATAGTACTATATATCTTGATTTAATTTCATGTCTTCATTTCTATGTTTTGTTATATTTTTAACGTTTAGTTCACTGTCTTATATTTTTTCGTTCTGTATCTTCTAAGGTTACCTTGGACGAGAAAACAATTTAAAAAATGTGAAATTCAAATGTTTTCAAAATGTTTCTCTGCATGCATCATAACTAGTAAATCTAATCAGCTAGTGACCCGTTTATGTTTTTATCCTTGAAGAAGAGGATCAATTATTTTTATTTCAAAATTTTAATGAAGAAAATTTGAACAAGAAAATCTTTCCTCGTGAAATTTTAAACATAAAAAAAAGTTTATTCGATTGGTCAGAAGAAGTTACAAAAGAAAACGTAATATTATTCTTGTTTTTTCAATAATCCACAAACGAATCATAATGATGAAAATAAACTGCATATTTTGTCTAAGAAGTGATCTCAAACTTCATTAATACTCAAAACTACGCAGATTATTCAAATGTTTGCTTCTTCGATCGATTGAACAGAAGTATTAATAAATATATTTTGTGTACCATTTTACTGAATATTAGAACCTATTGTTGAGTCCATGTATCAAAAGTTATATTTGCTCAAGAGTCCAATTCGTACTCTTAATATCGTGGATAAAGTTTTCTTCTGCGAACTGGAAGGTAACTTCGAAGATACAAAATGTCTTTTTCGATTATATGTTAATGGCTTTGCTATTCGAGTTACCTGATAAACGCGCCGTGTCGCGCGCTATTGGAACTGCTCGTAAAGCAATAATGAAAGATTTCGTTCCGTACCACCTGGGAATTTCGCATATTACTCGTCGTCAGATAATAGATAATCATACAATAACAGTAGCACGTGAACTCATGGGTGGAGGAAATGATACGCTTGTGTTGGTCATTGATGGAACATACATTTATATACAGGTATATGAAGATGTTTTTTAATTTTATCTTACATATCCTTTTACTATTTTTTTTATTATAGAAGAGCCGGAACAATGAATTTCAGAGAAAAACTTTCAATTTATACAAAAAGAGATCTCTGTTAAAACCAATGATGATAGTTACAACCACTGGATACATTGTTGCCTGCATTGGTCCTTTCTTTTCTGACTATTCAAACAACGATGCCGCAATGATGAAAGACA